TGGAGAAGGATTTTTAATTCTGTCAAATTAATACGACGCTACGTGCCGACAAAAAATGCCGGTAAAACAGACGGCTCCAGCATCCCCTTAACCTTGATCTTTCTGCAGAGCTCCAATTTAAATCTCATCTCTGCTCCATCGTCTAAGGCGGATGAAATACAGTATCTCAAGTTCCAGACCAGAATAGTGGAAAAAAAATTAAAAAATCTTCAAGAGGAGTATAACAGTGACTTTGCTACTTTTGAGAAAATGGTTTGTGACATACACCTAATGAAGCAGGAGCTGTACGTTGGCAAGCGCTTGCTAAAGGTTTTGAGCTATAAAGGAGTTTGTAAAGAGTCTTAGTGTTTTGGTCTCGTTCTGTCTATAACGTAATTATAAACGGACTAATTGTATATTTATAATTTATAATGTAATAATACAGTGCCTCGCATTAATATTCGGACATCATAATACTTGAAAAAAATTAATCGGTATATTTATTTAAGAAATGTTTTTTTAGTAAGTTGAAGCACAAAATGATACCCTACAAAATATTGAACTATTGAAGTTATAGTAATTTAATTCATATGTAAATGTAATTTATGCAAAAATATATTTTTTGTAAAATGTCCGAATATTAATGCAAATCACTATATATATAAAATTGTATAATTGTTCTAATTTTGAAATAAATTATTATTTTCACAATAAATTCTTTATTTTATGTAAATTTACATTAGTGGTAACGGTTTGTCAGTCTTGAAATATGTAAAAATAAATACCCTGCCAGAGAGCATAACACAAATAATATAGTACTCTGCATATGAGCATTGGTACATATTATATATATTTTATATAGAGATAAAATTTATGACTGACTGTTTATTTCATGATCTCACAATACTACATATTATATATAATATGTTTTATATTTTTATATTTTATATTTTATATATTATATATAATATGTATGTATTGTGAGATAATAAAATAAACAGTCAGTCATAAATGCACAGGTAAGAGACCGAATCAGCGAACGATAGCAAACCTGGCCGCAGTCTTACTGTTATAAACGCGTTCAAAGTTCATTTCAGTACGTTTTTTTCTTGTTTTTAATCCATACATTTTCAGTCGCATTGTGATAAATCTCTTCAGGATTTTAGTAGTGATATCATGACAGAGAGGTACATCTGCTCCTTCCCAGACATACTGTAGCTCTTTTACTAAGAAGTCCACAATGTTCATATTTTTGGCTTCAGTAAGTGTGTCTATCAAATTGCGGAAAGTAATTTCACTCTTCAAGATTGCTTTGAAACAAGGATGTGACACGTACAGAAGGCTCCCTTCTTTGTAACTCTTCATTTGAACAATAATGGAATAAGGGTGATGCTCTTCACCTTTCCAAAGAACACTTTTGAAACAGTTATCGCAGACTGTCATATGTTTGTGCACTTCACACTATACACAACTGATCCAGCTATGTCATATATTATTGACCACTCCCATTCATCAATGCTGTGCATCTGGTCATCAGTCACCTGTGGGATTTTAATAGCACATGTTTCGAAGAATGCATTCAAGTCTTCTTGTTGTTGTCGTGAGATTACTACAGCTTTAGAAAACTCCAGGAAATTTTGTTCAATTTTTTCAACTACAGTGTCATCAACATCATTATCGTAGTTGGTGTTTTTCTTGGTATTGATGCACAGCTGTGACAAGGTAATCATTTTCAAATTTTGTTTCAGATGGAGAGCGTAAGGAACAGGCTGTCTGAAGCGCAGAAGAGAAAACAGGAAAAACTAACTTCATTCAAAAAATAATTCTGCAGCAATAATAGACAATCAACTGCCATGAGTAGTCCTGTCTGGACTGGTTTCCAGTGACCTTTTGTACCAATCTTCATATGTTGGAATACATAAGCTGTGAATTTAAGATGCTCAATGGCTTTGTTGTATGCATCTTCATTTTTCTTACTGTGTAGGGAGCAGCACTAACTTCTGACCTCTGTTGGTGACAAGAGCAAACCAATGATCTACATGGAAAATGAAGAAAGCTGTAATGAGAATTTTTGTATCTCCTGTGGTCTTAGCATAGATCTTGAGGCCAATTACCGTTCTTTGACAAATGACAGACCTTGCTGTGGAAACTTTCATTGTGGAGAAGTGATTACTCTTCGTGTGAAGACTAGACTCTTTTAATTTGTTTGCAATATTAAATTCAAACTTGTTTTTATGACGCATTAGTTCTTTTAAGTGTTTAACTTCCACAATAGGATAGCTAAGGCCTTGAGAATGCACAACTGATTAAGGCAAACAAATCACTTTCTGACTCTCCAACATGGAACGGATGTTTTTGAATAAATGCACAGGATCAGGCATGATGCATAATTTGTCTTGTGGTCGTGCTGGGTGAGGGACGGTGCATCTCACTTTACCGTTTTCATAGCGTCCAACATTCCAAGCCCTCCACAAAGATAGATTGTCAGGCCCCATGTCTGAAGTCACAGAGGCAACTTTCAGGCCAATATTCTCAGCTCTTACAATAACCTTACTGATGATGTCTTTTAATGCATTTCCTGTAACATTACAGTCTGTTTGATTTGATTCGGAATCAATCTTGTTTGTGAAATAATATGCCACGGCATACTTCCACCGAGTGGTGATTCCTGCTAATGCAATGATTAATGCTTTCTTTGCCAGGCCAGTGTGCCCAGGAAACGTACATAAGCCAATGATCCTTTTACTGGAAGAGTCATACATTTCACCGGGCTTAATAGCCATTTCATCGAATACTACCATGCAATGCTTCTCACAAAGTGCCATATATGGAACTTGACACTTAACTACATCAAATACTTCTTCCAGAATGCCTGACTCAAACTTCATGTGTTCAACAGCTTGCTGAAGTTTTCTGACTGAAGGAAAAATTGGAAACTTTCTGACGAAATCTGAGTAGCCTTGCGTGCCCCATTTCATTTTGTATATTAGTCCGTCAGTAATAGTTGGAGTGCTCCACTTTCTTCCTTTTGTAGTTTTTGCACATATAGCCTTCAATTGGTCTTGACGCAATCTGCCGGTTAATAATTCATGGCTGCGATGATGGAAATCTTGAAGTCTTTTAAGATCTATTTTCATTTTTGTATGTTGCCTCTTAATACTGCAGTAATTCTTAAAAACTCTATCTGCCATCTTTTGCATGAAAACATGTTTTGTCTGGAGTTCGGCTAATTCTTTTTCTTTTAATTCTAATCGCCGCTTCAAAGCTTCCACAGA